CTTTTCATCCTGTGCAGGGGAGGGTGCGTGTAGCCCCGCTTGTTCTTTCGGATCTACATGGTACCATTTGGGCCTTCGCCTCGATGTCAGATGGTCGCCTGGGGACGTTGATCCGCGGAATCGCAAACGCCTGCCGGGATTTGCGGGGTCGCATCTGCTTGGGGGCGAGACGGCCGAAATGCCTGGCTTCTATCAGGTGGGGCGATACGACCCCTCGCGGGGACCATCGTCGGGTTAGTCGAAAGAGTGTAGGAATACATCCTCGACGGCCCTAGCTGCGTGGTGTGGTTCTCGGTGACGTGCGGATCGGCCTGTCCCTCGATCGGGTACTTTACACGAACGTGCTATCTCGCTTCGTCTGCGTACACCATCTGTTCGACCGGCATCGGCCTGCGTGGATCGAGTTTTGATTTTCGTACTTCCGGGGTCTGGACATCCCGGTGGCGTACGCGCGTCTGCTGGCGCTCGCATCGGTGCATCCTGCCGCCCATCCGTCCGCTTCTTCGGTAACCGGAGTGCCTGCACCGCCTCGCGCACATCACCCGGTTGGGGCATTTCAGATTGGACAATCTGCACCTCGGCGTCCTCCCAGCGGGTGCACCGTTCCGCTACGAGGTGAACACTCGCCTCGTTCCGGCTTCTGTCCTCCTATTCCGGCTGCTGGCCGACGTACGGACCGGATCGCCGAGGCGGAAGATTGGCTCTCCGGACTTTCAATGTGGGGTCGGTCTGATTCCCCGCGGTTGGTAGCGGCCTTCGACGAGCGGACAGTCCTTGAACCCTGCGTGCGACTTTCGCCTCGGCGAAAAGTCACTGGCCCGCCGCGCTTCGCCGCGCGGGTGGGTACGGTGACCGGGGCACGCATCAAATTGACGATAAAGAGCTCATCCGAACTCGACCGACGCCGAGGCCGGAGCCTCGGCGGCTGATTTCGGCGTGTGACCAACCTGAAGGTCGATTATGGATGGCCACTGCTGTGACGAGTCCCTGAACGCCGAGGTCGCGCTGCTTTCAGCAACCGCTGGCAAAGGCCAAGGGACTCGAGAATCGCGAAGAACGCGGTGTTGGTTTTTTTTGCGATTTGTGGTTATCCGCGGCTGGTTGTGGCTCCCACCGGGCTTTCCCGGACGGAGTGTACGGTGACGCCGCCATGCGTTTTCGCAACACGCTGCGGGTTAAGCAACAAGTGTGGATGTGGTTTGCCTGCGGCGTTCATGCGGCGATCGTTACTCCCGTGCTGCATGCATGTGCTCTTTCCGAGATCGGGTGGCTGAACATCCATCCTCGCTGTGCCGGCGTTCAAGGGCCTCGATGCCCGTGCCAGGCCCTCGATTACGGAGTGCGGATTGCAGGATGCCGGTGCACTTCGCGGATGAACTCTGGATGCCGGCACGGTACTGCTTCAGGCGGCGATTCCGGTCCGCGACGCGGACACCCACGAAGCTGACCGAACGCGTCCTGACGCTTGAGCACGGATCATCCCCGGGCCATCGAATGCTCTCGACGGGGGCATCGCCGTCAGGGCCGTCGGTGCTGCTGTCGAAGCGGCGGAACGGGCCAGCGCTGAAATCCACACCGACGCCGAGCGAAAGCCGACGTATGCCCAGTAAGTTTTCCGCCGCCGAGCAGATCGCGCGCTTGAGAAGGGTGCGGAACGGATCGAACCGCGTCCGGAACTCCGCGAGAAGGTCGAGCGTCGGTCGCTTCGGCAAACCGCTCCGGATCAAAGTGGGGTTCGATCCCTCCGCGCGGACCTGCATCTCGGCCACACCGTCGTGATGCGAAAGATGAAGCACTTCCAGGACTTCGGTAATGAAGTGTGGTTCGTGATCGGTGACTTCACCGGGATGTATCGGTGATCCGAGCGGCCGTTCGAAGACCGCCCCAATTGACTCGGGAGCAGCTCGCGGCGAAACGCCGAAAACCTACAAGGCGCAGGTCTTCAAGATCCTCGATCCCGACAAGACCGTCGTCGCCTTCAACAGCAGCTGGCTTTCCAAGCTGGGAGCGAAGGGCTCGTCCGGCTCGCGTCGTGCTACACCGTGGCCCGGATGCTGGAACGGGACGACTTCCACCGCCGTTTCCGCGGGGGGAGAAGCCGATCTCGATCCACGAGTTCCTCTACCCGCTGGCCCAGGCCTACGACTCGGTGGCGATGAAGGCCGACTTCGAACTGGGAGGAACGGATCAGCTCTCAACCTGCTCGTGGGTCGCCACATCATGCGCGAGTACGACCTCGAGCCGCAGGTGGCCTTGACCATGCCGCTCCTGGAAGGACTGAACGGCACCGAGAAGATGTCGAAGAGCCTCGGCAACGCGGTGGGCGTCACCGAACCGCCGGACGAAATGTTCGGCAAGCTGATGTCCATCAGCGACGATTTGACCTTTCGCTATTACGAGCTGCTGACCGACCGCACTCCCGCGGAGATCACGGTTCTACGGAAGGGAGTAGCGGACGGCACCCTCCATCCCAAGCACGTCAAGCAGGCTCTGGCCGCTCAGATCGTGGCGGACTTTCATTCCCCCGATGAGGCGGCCTCGGCGCGGGAACGCTTCGAATCGGTCTTTGCAAAGGGGGCCGTCCCGGACGAGATCCCGTCGTTCTCCGCGCCTCCGAGCCTACAGATGCTAGACCTGCTGACCTCCGCTGGACTTGCGGGAAGCCGGAGCGAGGGACGCCGCCTAATTGCCC